TGGCTGGTTTTTTTAAAAGGCCATGTTTAATAACAACCCCAACAATGGGCTCTCAAGTCAATTCTGATATATGGTGACCCTCCCAGGTTTTTCTGGAGGTGGCTTACTTTTCTGGAGCAACTGAGGATGCACAGTGAGAATTTCGACTCCGAGTCCTTCGCTCCACGGCTGCTCATTCCAAACCACTGGTATACCAGCTTTTTTGTTTGTTTAATCGAAACATTGAATGGTATTAAAAGAGGCATCCATTCCATTAAGCAAGGAGCAAGGATGAGTCAGTGCTTCTTGCCCTTTGGCTTTCCTAACGTTTTGGATTTCAGAATCCTTTACCAAGGGTCCTGCTGGGTAAGGCTTCTGTGAGCTGAAGTTCAAAACATCTAAATCAGCTGAAGCTTGGACATCCCTGGAGCAGGAAAAATCCCACTTCCAAGTTTATGATTCTGTGAGCACCTGGTCGCCAAATTCCAACCAGTGCATGGGTTGTAAAAGGGAGACCAGGAACTCACATCTTACAGTAAGGAGCATGTTTGTAAGGGAAATGCCAAGCCAATCTAGGGTTACATGGGCTCAGCTCCATTGTGTGTGTGTAAAGTGACTATTAACTCCTAGAATTATCTGAAATGCTAGGGAAAAAAAGAGAGATTTCTGAATATGTCCAAGCTGCATTTTTCTCCCCATCATGAAACAACTGTTCCAACCTACACCGCTAAGATAAAGGAGGACCAGAGCTATCAGAAATGCTCAGACCTCAAAGATTCTCTACAAGTTTTAAGTGTTGATTGGAAAAGTTCCTTTTTTGGGACAACGTTACAGAATTATCTACTGTAATATCGCTGCTGGGAATTATAGCCGCCTCCCTTGCCCCCCACGAGCATTTCCAAGCTCTGGTTTAACTGTGAGTCTGGCATCTTTCATAGGGTCTGGTCAACGACACCACAGATTTCCCACGCAGAAAAGAAAAAGGCTAGGATATAAAGGAATAGGCTTTCTCTAATTAGGAGTGTGCACCTATGGCCTGTATAGCAATGAAACTATGGTGGGAATGATGGAATTGCTCTGGATGCAAACTCCTGAGAATTGCTATATCAGGCGTGATGATGGGGAGGTGGTGGACAGCTTCAGTCAGTCAGAGTAGACGAGAGGGGCCAGACGGAGAAATGGTCTGACCTCCTGCTGCCTATGCTCCTAATTCAGCTCAGTGTCCACAAAAGATGGAGAAACATGCACTATTAAAAATTCAAAATACAGTGGTGCCTCGCTTCACGATTACCTCGTTAAACGAAACCGCTATACAATGACTGTTTTGCAATCGCTTTTGTGATCGCAAAATGATGTTTTAATAGGCAAAATCTGCTTTGCGACGATCAGTTTGCTATTTCGGGAACCGATTCTTCACATTACAACGTTTTAAAAACAGCTGATCGGCGGCTTAACAATGGCTGCCCACTGTGTAAAATGGCTCCCCGCTGCGTTTATGGACGGATTCCTTGCTTTACAGCCACCGAAAATGGCCGCCCCTATGGAGGATCTTCGCTGGACGGTGAGTTTTTCAGCTCATTGGAACGCATTGAACGGGTTTTCAATGCGTTTCAACAGGATTTTTTATTTTGCTTAATGAGGATTTCGCTCTACAGCTATTTCGCTGGAACAGATTATCTTCGTTAAGTGAGGCACCACTGTATATATGCAATAGAGAAGCTGACTGCATGTAGTGACACACCACCAATCAATGCTTCAAGCAGAATGCGCCTATTTTGGGGGGGAGGGGGATAATTATGATGGTGAGGACACTGGGATTGATAATGCAAAGCAGTGTCTAACTGAAAATGACCTGTATCAATTTACAATTTAAAATAAGAAGCCCCTTGTATGAAAAGCAGGCACAAAACAGAATCAGTACCCAATTCCTAGACACAGATGTCCATTACTTTTTTGCATAGTGAAGGTGGAAGGAAGTCGGGCTCACCTGGTTAGAGGCAATGAATCCGTGAGACAGTGGGGGGTTTGCCTAACAAGAACAAACCAATCGGGGATGGGGGGGGGACAGGACTGGGATTGCTGATATCATGTTGAGAACTGTCTGTAAATAGGAATATGTAGCTGGAGAAGATGGCTCACACTGAAATGCTATACAAAGACAGAGAGAGATAAGTCTTCGCCATTCGTATCTCACGAGGAATGTACAGTTCTTATAAAACTATTGCCTTTTGTCAAGAGAATAGCTTTGCCTTAACTGGCTGCCTTCCTCGTGCATGGACTCTAGCTGCTCTCCCCTCCAGCCATCATAATTACTTATGCTCCCTGGGGATAATGGAAGTTGTAGTTCAGCACAGGTGGAGGGTGCTTGGGATGGGGTCAGGTTGTAGCAGAAACCAGTCCTCAGAAGTATCACGTTAATTTAACATACCATCATTTCTGCAAGAATGCATCCAATCTTCAGGACAGAGCATTCTGTAAGTGTACTGTGTTAGCACTGAAATTTTTATTCCTAGTTGTTTTTTTTTTTTTTAACTATCAGGACATACCCATCAGCTTGTCCTCCTGTTTAATTTGAAAGTAACACTGAGCAGGTGGGCAAAGGGAGGCACTGAATGCTCTTGCCAGATGTTGGACCTGCTCATTTGCACAGGATTAGCTCTTTATTTCAGAAGCATTTCAGCTCATTGCAGGGCCCAGAGCAAAGCGGTTGAGTTCGGCATTGGCTTGGAATGACTGCAACTGCTTCTTGTCCGAGGGAGGACACTGCGGGCCATTCTTAACAGCCTGGCCTACAAAACAAGTGGAAGCAATGCAAGTGAGTATCTATGGTTAAGACAGAGCAAGGCAGCCTCGAAGAAAAATTCTGCAATCTGGTGGACCTGTGGCATCCAGCACTGGGACATTAGAAACGCTGATATTCTAAGGAACGGGGGCCTGCCCTGCCCTTTTAACAACAACAACAATAACAAAAAATCCAAAAGGACGGCAACATTTAGTAAACTAGTATCTGGGCTCTTTTTCGAAAACATATTTTTCAACACCATACAGGAGGTCCCATTATCAGCTTGCACTGGGGCCTTTTTGAGGGATCAGATTATTGGTCTACAACTTCAGAATTCTTGGCCAGCATGCTGGCTCCGGATTCTGTGAACAACAGGCAAAATCTTTTTCTGATCGCTATTAAGGAACCTTCTTCTTTTTGGGGGTGGGGGGCTGTATGCTGGCAGGGCCTAAGCAAAATGCAAATTGGGAGATTAATTTTCTCTCCAGGCTTTCTCTACTGCTCTCTCTCTCTCTCTCTCTCTCACACACACACACACACACACACACACACACACACACACACACACACACACTCCCCCCTTTCACAGCAGACTGCAAATCAAGGAACAGATCATATTTGCTGGACATCTGGACTGATAATTTGCACAGGCCCTTTGAATCCACGCCAGGACCCACATATGTTTTAAGTCACCAAACAGATTGGAAAATACTGTGTTGGAAATGTCTGTGCTGTGGGGGGCAGAACCGATTTCAGACCCGACCCCCCCCCGTGAAGCTCCCTTTCCACAAGTCACATATTTTTATTGCAATGTATTGCAATGTAAAAATTACCACATTGCAAAGCCATTTGCCCAGAGGCAAATAAGACAGTAGGAAGCCATTCAGAACACGTTCAAAAACAAGTCTGCAAAAAAAGAGAGAGGTCTTCTTCAGAAAGGACTCCTCCAGGCCCTCATAAGAAATGGAACATTTGCCTTAACTTGAGGTTCATGATTTCGTCTCGTGATACCAGCAGCACTACAAACACTGGCCAGCAGGTGGAGCGCTGAGCTTCTTTTGGGCTCTCAGTATTGGAACAGAAGCGATTTGATCTCCATTTTCGGAGCATTAAACTCGTGCAGCTACCAAACGGAGGAGTAAAAAGGGGGATGGGAGTGGTTAGGGAGAACCATACAGAGTCGCTGCTTTTCCTCTGGGAAGAGTGCAGGCCACACCAAACCTTCAGGGGAGATATCCTGCCATTTTCTGCCTTTTGGAATGGTTTTTATTGAATTTGCCATCCTACTTGGCATCCTGCAGTTTTGCAAACATCCCAAAATTCCAGTTCACCGTCAGTAAGGAATCAATTATCCAGAGCTAAAAAGAAGAAGAAAAGAAAAAGAGAAGAGAGCAAAGGGATGCATTTAGTTCAGGACAAGGCAGGCACATTTTGGAGACAACCTTGGATATCAAGACGTTCGCCTCCAAACAATTGAAAAATCTGAACCAAACTCAGTCCTAAGTGACTAACATTTTAATTGTTCCGGAACATTTTAATCATTCCATTGTTTTGAAATTTATTTACTCTTTTTTAAATCTGTGGTTTTATCTTGGGTCCCCTATGGGGAGGAAGGCAACGAACCAACAAACAAATAAAAAGAAAAATTTGATTGCTCAGAAATGTACTCAGAAGAACAAATAGGTGTGTATTCTTTAGTTCCTTGCTATTTTGACTCTCCACCTTTCTGCTCATTCAATGCTCTATATTTATCTTTCCTCTAAACTTTTTTTTCTCAACAACACTGTGAGGTAAGTCAGACCACAGGTTAGAAAAGTATTCACACACACCCCCCCGGGGGGAAGGACGGACAGTTCCTGAAACCCCCCCCCCCC